GCTTCCAGGTTTTTTGCAAACGATGTCTATCCTGACGTTTCCGCACACAGTTTACTCATCACCCTGATGATGTAGGCAGCTGGTTTCTCTGAAATGGCTAATATCTACCAGTCTACATATCACAGCATCTCAGAAGATGACGACCTTTATACTTGTCTCTGTGAGAACCTCAAATGTTAGCAATCGTGTTCCTATTTCATTCGGAACTATGCAGTTTAAACAAATAAATGTAAAATTAATGCATTTGCGAACAAAGATTTGTTTGAAGTGATGAAATTTTTGTCAAGTTCTCTTCAGAGTACTCTCCTTGAGAGTTAATGCACCGAGCCCTGTGACTGCAGTCTGCTGTCATTAGCGGCGTTGCTGCAGATTTGCTGAATATCGAAAACATCATTCCTTTGTTTTACCGAGGTCTGGTCATGCTGGCAGAGAGAGCAATCCCTAACCTTGCTGGTTATCCTTCCTAGAGCGATTCACTTTACCGACTATTACAGTTTTTGGTTCTGAGCAAAATACTGTTACTTCAGCATCGTTTTCTGTTTTATTACCGACTAGTGTGAGTGTTGCGAGCTGGACGGATCGTCCTCCATCATTCCTTCGCTGCCTGACATTTGCATTGTGTACAAGCTTCATCTGGAGTGTGGACGTCTCATCAACATGTACGACTGGTTGCAATCTTTTCTTGCCATCGTGAATCATACTGAGTCCGGGGATGAGCAGAGAGATGTGCCCCCAGAGATACAGTATCCTTTGAAAGTAGTGTTTATGTACCTTATTTATTTTATTTTGTATGTATTTATCAACATTCTGCCAGCTGCAGAAATTATGTGATATTAACTGTGTGCGATGTTCACGACACGCCTACTGCCGAATTAACCGGCATTGACAGATTCTACAGATTTTTCTTAACGTGCGATCAGAGCCCGATTCACACGAGCAGTAGCGGAGTTGCAGTTCCTTGGTTTCATCAAAACCTCCAAAAAGAAGACTGACCACGTGACAAGACTGACCTGGGGAAGCTCATGACGCGTCCTCGGCATCGTGCCAGATGCATGTGCGCGTGTTCGTTTCGCGATCGAA